ATTTTCCCTGCTCTCAAGTTTGAAGCATCATTTCTTCCTGACAGATGCGGCGAATGACGCCAAACCTGTCCAGCATGCTTGGAACACGGTAAATGCTTTGATGAACCCAAAAAACCTTGTTAGAAATCACAAACGGATGTCGAATTGACGCCACGTATCGCACGGGCCTATCCTTGCACAATTTTCCCTACTGTCAAGTATGAATCATCATTTCTTCCTACCACATGCGGCGAATGATGCCAAACCTGTCCAGAATGCTTGGAACATAGTAAATGCTTGCATCAACCCAATAAACCTTGGTAAAAATAACAAAATGACGTCGATTTGATGCCACGTATCGCATGGGCCTATCCATGCACGATTTTCCCTCTGTCAAGTTTGAATCATCACTTCTTCCTACCAGATGCGGCGAATGATGCCAAACCTGTCCAGCATGCTTGGAACATAGTAAATGCTTGGATGAACCCAATAAACCTGGTTCAAAATCACAAATTGACGTTAATTTGACGCCACGTATCGCACGGGCCTATCTATGCACAGTTTTCCCTGCTCTCAAGTTTGAATCATCATTTCTTCCTAGCAGATGCGGCGAATGACGCCAAACCTGTCCAGCATGCTTGGAACATAGTAAATGCTTTGATGAACCCAAAAAACCTTGTTAGAAATCACAAACGGATGTCAAATTGACGCCACGTATCGCACGGGCCTATCCATGCACAATTTTCCTTACTCTCAAGTATGAATCATCATTTCTTCCTACCAGATGCGGCGAATGACACCAAACCTGTCCATCATACTTGGAATATAGTAAATGCTTGGATGAACCGAAGAAACCTTGTTAGAAATCACAAACGGATGTCAAATTGACACCACATATTGCACGGGCCTATCCTTGCACAGTTTTCCCTACTGTCAAGTTTGAATCATCATTTCTTTCTACCAGATGTCGGCGATTGACGCCAAACCTGTCCAGCATGCTTGGAATTAGTAAATGCTTGGATGAACCCAATAAACCTCGTTAAAATTTACAAACGGATGTCAATTTGATGACACGTATCGCACGAGCCTATCCTTGCACAGCTTTCCCTGCTCTCAAGTTTGGATCATCATTTGTTCCTTCCAGATGTGTCGAATTACGCCACACCTATCTAGCATGCTTGATATATAGTAGATGATTGAATACACAAAATATATTTCCACACTTGTTTGAGCAAGTAAATAATGGAACATGTCAAATATAACAGGCCATAACAAATAATGCAGGTTATTACTCGATTGAATTTCACATACAGTACCCTTAAGTGGCATGCACACACATAACTTATTAAGTTACTTAATAGCATGTGGATTAGAGCATAACATACGAAAGAAATTAACTCTGATTGGCTTGTTATGCATGTGGTACATATCAAGTTACAACAGTAGTAACAATACTATTTATGACTTACTAGACGCATGTTGCTGTATCTAGTGTCTGTAATGAAATGCTCTGGTGGCGAGGATATTGCACCCAGGTTTTAGCACCCCCAAGCAACCGGCAAACTCTCATAATATCTGGACGGGAGATTGCACCCCTCTCGAAAACATTCACGCTGATTGGCCAAGAGCCACGAACATCATGAATAGTGTCAATACCAACAATGAAGATCACTCGGGGAAACAGGGCAAAAACCACGGTAAACGGTGCTCGATACCTTGCTCGTAAACGACCACAATCACCTAGCAAAAATTTCAGCCATCAATCCAGCGCTAACGAGGGTTCGCTACGAGAGGCGGGGCGTAAACTGCCCAGAAATAGCATACAGCCCAAAATGCCTCATGAACCCCTCAGAACCGAGTGCACTCCAACCCTAAAACCGCCCCTATTCCCCCCCCCCCCCCCCCCCCCCCCCCCCCCCCCCCAATACTCCCCAGTTTTACATTTTTCTGATGTTGAGCTTAGGACACGACGATGCGAGGTGAGCGAGGAAGATGTCGCCTAGGTTCAATAATGCGGCATTCGATGGAGATGGGTAAGGTTCGGGAAGCACGCGACGGCATTCGAGAGTTGATGTAGGGAAATAACATGTTTTTGTTCAATGAGGAGGGTGGATACGTCACGGTGAGCTAGATCGCGCCAACGACGGCACACTAACGAAAAAGAGGTAGATCTTGTTATAGTCACAATAGGCTCAAATGTGCCTAAAACGAAAGATAGAGTGCACAGTCGGATTTCTGCACAACAGCTTTAAACGTGCATAGCGTTCTGGTCACAGCTCCAAATGACATGCAAATTGGATCCGGAGCGTCTTGACGTCGTCTACAATAGGCCATTTAGATCGCACGATTTCATCAAGTATTGACGACGCAACATCAGTTTGAACGAACGGCACTATGGCAGCCACTATAGTCTTAGAACACAAATTAGGAAGAGTTGCGAGTAGGGAATGACTCCCAGACTCTACAAACCCCAAGAGCTGAGGTACAGTGATGTGGAACAGTGCCACACTGTCCCCAACCACGAAGGGTCTCGAAACTACCCTCCACAAGGGCCAAGACCAAAGTAATATTAAACTACACAAAGTAATGTAACTATTATCACTGTCTTGGAGTGTAGCTTTTTTGCGGGCTTCGAGATCACTTGTATCTTGAATTCAAAGCTCCGGTTCTTCACCACAAAGTCATCCTTGAGTTCTGAAGGCTCTGCTGCACACACATGCGATACGCCGAACGTTCGACACACGACAAAATAGAAACCGCACATGAGACACAAACGACCGTGTGACACTCGACTAGCGATAACTCGCTATTGACTCAACACACACACATTCAACATTATGACTCATCATTCACACACTATTATAAGCATGAAATATATATTATTTCATGCCCTCATACCATTCCAAACACACACGCATGCACGCACACGGACAACAAGCCGAGTGCAAACCGTAGGGTTGAAGCAACAGATCTTGGCAGCGTTTGGAACAACGAAGGGAGTCGAAATGGAAGTCGTTTCGTCTTCTGGAGGGAGAACATTGTCTAAAACAATCGAACGGATTTGCTGCCACTTCGGCCTCAATGCATGACAGTCGGAATTGCTAGATGTGCACTCTTCACTGTGAAATAGCGAGGATGTCGTTGGGAAGGGCGTTGATATGTGTTGCTGACTGCAACCTTGTGCGAGAGTGGATGCAGCAACCTTGAAGCCTAGCCTGAATTTGAAAAACGAGTGTCACGTGGCAACAGTCAGAAGGAATGAAAGGTGGCGCTTGATGGAAAAGCGGTGAGAGGCAATACTGGAACGCTGACACTTATGGAAGCAAAAAAGGGGATATGAGTGACCTGGGGAAATGGTTGAGAATTCAGAGGTTCATTGCGTGCTAAAAGGTTCACGCTGGCAGTTGAAGGAGTCAGCAAGCGTGGAGCTCTCTAGGTGAGTTGGAGGGGACGGGCTGGTTTGGCGAACGACAGGTGAAATCTTGAACAAACAGTCGCAAATCAAGGAATGGGTGCGGGGTGGTTCTTACAAAACAGAACAGCACCCACGTCACGTGAGGAGGGGATTTCGAGGGTGTTGCTTTCCTGGTTCCGCCCGCCAACTGGTGTTACCCGGACTACAATTTCAAGAGAAGCATAAGCAAGCAAGCAAGGTCGCACAAGCAAGGTCGAACTGTAAAATTCGACATTATCGGGTGCTGAGCCTATTTTGCACCCGCCAACTGGTGTTACCAGAACAGCACCCACGCGCTGAGCCGCGCGTCTTGACAGCGTGCCATGTCAACGTTGTGCGCGTATCGTAACAAGGACCTAGAGCTCTAGCTCAATGTCCTCGCTTCGTGCATACATAGGGTACAAATAGCCCTCATGGCAAACAGGGAGCCATGTCATTCTCTCACAATGACAATTATCCAGCTAGTCCGCTTTCTCAAAATAGTATGGCAGGGTTACCTGCAAATGGTGATGCTGCCCATTCTCAACACCGTTGGCACGGCACTCCCCACGCTCGTCGCTGCCTTCTTCCTCATGCAGACCCGTGTGTTCGTGCGTGGCGACCGCTTTGACGCACGTGTACGCAAGTTCTGCCTGATTACTTCTTTGCCCGAAGACAGTTTCTATGAGTATTTGCTTGTCGACAAGCGTGTTCAAATTTCCTTGGTTTGGCAGTACCAGCGCAGTCGCTTCGCAACACTTTAACATCCTGTGCATTTTTTTGTTTTCGTGGCCATGAGACTTAGCAAACTTGGTCATGGTCTTACGTTTCGTGAAAATAGGCTCCATTTCAGGTACTCATATTCCAACACCCATAAACTTTTTACGAGGCTTGTCTTCTTCATCAACAAAGTGTTGATGTCGTAATGGGTCGTTTGGCCCGATTTGGACATGCTCCAACTATTCGAAACAGAGTTTCGGCTTCAGGCAAAAATACCAGGCATTGTCGGTGCCATGGATAACACTTATATTCATTGGTGTTGCATGGGCCCACATTGCGATGACTTCAGAAACAGAAAGGCGCATTTTCAATCCTTTTGTTGCTAATCCGCGACAGCATTAGGTTCATATGGAACTTCTTTGTTGGATACCCCGGTAGCATCAACAATGCTTGTATTATTATTAATAGCCCTGCAAGAATCAAGGTCGAAGAAAATGGCATCCTCGACTACACAATAGTGGATGACGCTGGCTACGGGTTGAGGAACTACATCTACACCCCCTACAGTGCCTTGCCCGGTCTCCTGCTCCCGGACGAGCAAAGAGTTTGGAACCCACAGTAATTGCGTACTCGGATGATCGTGGAGCAGGTGAATGGCCGCCTAAAGACTCGATGGCGCATTCTGGACGTGCGCCTCGAGTGCGATGTCTTCGTACCCCGCAAATCGTCTCCGCATGTGTCATATTGCATAACATCGATCTCTGCCGCAGGAGTCGCCCTCGTCTGTGAGAACCTCACAAACGCAACACCTGGTGGCTTGAAGGCCCTGTAGCGGAGGCGCCGCCTTTCTCGTCGCGCGACCCCGGCTTCACGTCGACTCGTCGTCGAGCTCGTCTGGCGGCGTACTTCTACGCTTCCTGGACACTCGAGCATCTTGAGCTCTCTCAATCATCTCTTGGGTATGTTCGAGGAACTCATCAAACTGGTCGCGCATAGCTCCCTTGACCGATTGTGCAATGATACCTGCAATTTCAGCACACATTATAAAACCACTCGCATTCATGAGATTTCCCAAACCCCTCCCATGTGCTTCGTTGCCCGTATCTTCCTCGTCGGCAGTCGCAGGCATAGGCCGGCGGGAGACACCGCGGCCACGGAGCGCAATACCTGTCTGCACCCCGATGACACATGAGTGTGAGGGCGATGCTCTAGCGGTGACAATGATGTTGTTGATACGGTACCACAATATGGAAGAAATAGGGGTGGCTGACAATGACAACAACAGCTTTTCTACGAAGCATTCCCTTTAGCATCAGTCCACATGTCCCATCCTAAACCATCCTTGGATGTCACTAAAGAGCTCTTCATTTCCTGCTTCCTGCCTGGCCTCGCTAGATCTATGACTTAATAACTCAATGCCTGTACAACAGTCTTATTTTGATGCTACATATTCACACTTAACTACTGGTGCCTGCATGCAAGATTGATAAACCGCACGTCTGGATAATGCTCATGGGGAGCACAGACGAATCAATGTCAGTCAGAAGCTCGCACTCATGGACATCTAGCACCTGCAGCTCCTTCAGCTCACTCAAATCAGTTGGCAACGCCTGCAGCTGTCTGCACAAACTCAAGTTGAGGGACTTGTGGCATGCAAGCCATGAAAATTTGGGACACAGGGAGTGGATGGAGCAGTGCAGAATTGACAGGTCGTTCAGGCAGGCAAGCTGGGTGAGAGAGGCAGGCAGATGCTTCAGCTGCGTGCAGTGAACGACCAGCAGCTCCCGCAGCCAGGATAAGGCGCTGATGTCTTGTGGCAGAGAAGGCAGATTGGGCGCCAAGTGAACCCCCAATGACGTCAAGTTCTGCAGTGCGGGTACACTTGCTGGCAGCTCCCTCAACTCCCCCACACGGACCAGCATCAGGTTCTGCAGCTGCGGCAATGCTGACCCGATATCAGCCGGCAGCCTTTGGAGATTCATCGCGTTGTGAATATACAGGGTGCACAGCTGAGAAAGAAAGGTCAAGGCGAATGGAAGCTCCTTAGCACCGTCTCCCAAGTTGAGAACCAAATACTCCAGGTGAGAAAGACTCCTGCTCACAGCGAGCCCACACATGGCCATAATAACCCTTGTCAGGGAAAGATCCCGAAGCCACGTCAGCCTCGAAACACCTGCCGAAACCATCGCCTGCCTATAGCTTCCCCAGCTGAGCGTTTCAAGTGAAGCCGACAAGAGTTGATCAAGCCGTGTCAGCTTGCCACATGCTGTCACCTCAAGGCACTTGAGCCTCGTAAGGCCATCCCACCTTGTGGGCACGGATGTGAGATTTGTGCAGCCAGAGAGTATGAGAGCTTGAAGACAAGTCGGATTCGTCAGCAACGCTGGAAGGGCCGTAAGATGAGAGCAGGAGGAGACGTGCAACTCGCGCAGCTTGCTCAGCTCTCCCACGCCCTCTGGCAGCTCCTCCACCCCGCACTGGTGAAGCAATAGGCTGGTCAAGGAAGAAATCTCAGACAACGAGGACGGCAGAGGGTGTTGCTGAGAGCTCTTTTTCACAAGAAGCATCTGGAGGTTACTTAGGTGTCCAATGTCTTCTGGAAGCACAACTCGCCTGAGGCAGAGAGTCGTGAGAGTTGTGAGGCAGCCGAAACCTGCTGCCAGCTCGCAGATCGAGTCGCATGAAAGCAAGGAGAAGGTTTCCAGGGAGCTGAGTTGACAGATAGAGTCAGGCAGGCTCTCGAGCGACAGACTTTTCCATAACCAAAGTTCTCAGGTCAGTCAAGCTCCCAATGCTTTCAGGCAGGCGGAGAAATTGTAACAAGGGGCACCTGTGCGGGAGCCAACGTGAAGCGCACGGGAGGCAGCAACATGCAGCAGCCGCGTGCAAGGGTGAACGTGGGCAGCGCAGGGTAGAGAGTGGGCGGGACGTGGGAGAAACACGTGACAAGGACGAAACACATGGTTCGTGTCTTGGTTGACTTGGGCGAAGTGCAGCGTGAGACGGGCGGCAGAATTCAAGAATCTGATGGTTAGGATTGTAACACGTGTATGTGTGCTATGAGATGTACAAATTGTAAAAAAGAAGGTAGAATTCGGCTCGATGTCGGGGCTGGCCACCTGAATCGGCATTCCGAGTCGCATGTCTGGAAATGTAAATACAGTAGCATAAAAATACATTCGTAAGATAGAGAGAATAGTTGTTGTTTCCCTTTCTGTTTGTTGTTCCTTGCTTCTAAAAAAAAAACCCTTGGTGAATTTCTCAGCCAAGAATCGCTAGAACAAGCCTAGTGCGGTTAACCTTGTTCCACTTGGTCTTAGAGCCTCATTTTTCCTCGTGAATTACTGCCAGGTTTTTTTTCACCATGAGCGATTTAGATCGTGATGCCGCGGTGCACGAGCTTGTAGCTAAGGAGGTGCAGGCTACCTTGCAGAACATAGCTGCACAGCAGGGAGTAGCTACAGCTCCAAGTAGCGCAGTGGAATCTACTTCCCGTGTTAGAGTTGCTGCCGGACATGTTCGTTCCATGCAAAGGGCAACCGATGGTTTGATGATGGCTCTTCATAGTGGAGGAATATCTGTGCTTGTGTCACGTGGCTGGAGAGAAGTGGGCGATGTTCGTTGGAACCCTACTCCGAGGCTCTGCAATCGCATGGTGACAATCGGTGTGACCTGCTGTCCAAACTTGGCAGCAATTTAAAGAAGCTCTTGTTGCGTCCTTCGAACCAATCAACGCGATGGCGAAAGCGCGTGATCGACTTGCGGATCTGCAGTAGCGTACTTCTGTAGCAGATTACATCGCTGATTTTTGTCAAATTTTCGACGAGATTAGAGATCTCTCAACTACTGAGGCGCTGGACAAGTTTAAGCGCGGGTTGAAGGATGGCGATACGATGGAAGTAGAGGTGTAGGGCTGTAGTACGCTTGAGGACATGTCGCGTGTCGCTGAGCGCTACGACGAGATTCCCTTCGGAAGTCGTCGTATCCGTTTCAAACGAGGGATGCAGGGTTCAGCCCAAGCATGATCCAGCCAATCCGTGTGGAGCAGCATGGTGGTGCAGGTCCTTCACCAAAGGAGCTGGATACAATTGATAAGAAAAAGAAGAAGAGGAAAGGCTTTGCTGGAAACAGCTTCAAGTGCGGAAAACGCGGTCACAAACAGCTCAACTGCCCTACCAAGCCGAGGTAACCGGGAAACAAGCCTCACCGGTAGGGGGGCGAGTTGCTCATGGTGAGGACTGCCTGTCAACGGGAGTTGTGTTTGGCCCCGTCCTCGCTTGGGCGGAGCCGACTACGTGGTCGGGTGTGTGTGGAAGCAGCCGACCTGCAACTGTGGTCGAGCTGGTCGACGGGGCTGGTCGACCTGCACGGGGGCCACTGCAAGGGCGCCGACTTAGGAGGACGCTGAATTTGACGTGGTCGACAGGTCGACCTGGCAAGGCGCCGACTTCAGGGCACCGACTTGAGGTGGCCGACGACTTGGTAAAGTCGGCGGCCCAGTCCCGAAGTGGTCGACGAGGGGGCGCGGACCAGGGGTGACGCCGATGTGGCGGTGTCGACCTGGTTGCTCGGTCGACTGGGATACCCTGGCGACAGAGCTTCTGCGCATGTGTGCGACGGCCGTCGAGGTGGCTTCTGCGAGACCGACCTCGGGGGTGGTATCCCGAGGTCGACGTGGCTGGTGGGCGCAGTCGCTGGCGTGGACTCTGGCAGGCGTCTGCACCGTGCTCATAACAAGGCGTGGAGCACCAACCAGCTGCACATACCTGCGAAGCTGGTGCACCGTTGTCAGGCGGGTGCAACGCTGTGCAGCCGACTTGCTGCAGTGCTGGCGCACCGCAGACTTGCAATGTTGGCAAGCCGCATCCTTGCACTGCCGGAGCGCGGTCGACCAAGTCGTGTTGGAACGCAGTTGACCGTGCTGCGCTGGCAGTCGACCAGCAGCCATGCTAGTCCTGATGTAGACTGTGTTGCCAACTTTGCTGCTATCATTTTGTATCATTGTTGTCATGTTTTCCTAGTGAAACTCTTGCCAATTTTCCCCGTGAACTAGCAAGCAGTGTGTGCACAAGGAAACGACTAAGGAACGAACGCAGAGATCACACTAGCCCCGTGCCTAGCTTGTAGTCTAGCTCCCATTGAGGTAGTTATCTCTGCATGGTGCGGTGAGCGTGGACGGCACCGCAACGATACCTTCGGGTTAGCCGACTTTTGCACTTACCGATTGTGTTCGTAGGCCGGCAGTTGTACGTTAGTCACCATGGTAGGCGCCCTAGGTGACGCAGAGGTAGTGGATACCCTTGAAGTACGGCTGGAGGATGCGAGGAGACGCCATTAGGCTGGCGAGTACGGGGAGATGCTCCCCTGAGCGGTCGTTGAGGCTGGCATCCACGCCATGTGAGCTGTGAAGCACCTTTCTCGACCGGCCACTCCTCGATCGGTGAACAACGAGGGCGGCTTCGACGTGGGCGTCCACGCCGGTGACCAAGTCGGCAGCAGTGCGGGAGGCACGTCGAAGGTTGCAACGAGGGTTGATACACGCCGATGAAGTCGGCGGCGTTCAGGCGCGAGGGCTGCAGTCGTCGGCAACTGCGGGCTCCCCGCAAGGCGACGTTGGAGGACGTCAAAGCAGTGTGACGCCGGCGTCGGCGACTCACGTAACTGCGGGTGGACTAGCGCCGCAATACGGCTACTTCAAGTTCACGCTGGACAGAATCGCCGTCAGCCCCCAGCTGGTCGGACGCCACGACCTCCTCACGTGGAAGGAGGCCATTGAGCCCCAGCTGGAGATGGCCGGGCTGATGTGCTTCGCCGACGGCACCGTGGCGACGCCACCGAAGAGCAACCCCGAGCTGCGTGCGGGGTTTTGCGCCGTGCAGTTGTTGACCTTCAAAGTCATCTCGCGGTGCTGTTCGCCGGGCGTGTCGATCGCATTGAAGTCGTGCAGGGACTACTTGGATGCCGGCCACCAGGCGTGGGAGTTCATCAAGTCGATGTACCAGGTCACCAACGACCTACACATCGGCCAGCTAGAGGAGAAGATGACGCACCTGCGGATGGGCGAGCAGGAGACGGCGACCGACTACTGCAACCAGGCTCGTAGACTTCTCGCCACCGTGCGGATGGCCGGCAACACCTACTTGACGGTGTCCTACATCACACACGTCTTGAAGGGGCTCCCGAGCAGCTACAACCTGATGAAGCGGCTGCCGCTGGTGCTGGGCATGCGGGAGCCGCTCAACGAGGACTCCCTGACCTCGTACATCCTTAGAGATGAGGTGATGCAGGAAGCCGAGTGGTCCTCAGAGCTTGCCACAGATAAACTACGTCGCCCCGACGAAGCAAGGTGGTCAACAGGGGCAGCGCGGCCAGCCTGGCAGCAGTGGAAGCGGAGGTGGGAAGCTGACAAAGGACGCCGACAAGAAGTTGGACCAGGATGGTGGTCGGGGAGGCAGAAGTTGTGGAGCCGACCGTCTCGCTGGCGCCGGAGGCTGGTGAGGTCTTCCAAGCGGTGGCGGCAGCTATGCAGGAGAACCCGGCGGTGGTTCTGCTTGACAGCGGCTGCTCGCACCACCTGATGGGGACGAAGGACGCCTTCGTCGACTTGGGGCCGAGCGGCGATATGAAGCACGTGCGCGGCTTCAATGGGGCGCTGCAGGACGTCCAAGGTCGCGGCTCCGTCGCCTTGCAGGGAAATGCCGGGAAGAAGGTGCTCAATCCTGACGATCTCTGCATGCCAGGCGTGCAGGTGAACGTGTTGTCAGCCGGCCAACAGAAGGAGAACGACGTGAAGCTGCAGGACGACAACGACGGGATGCTACTCGTCTCGGCGGCCAGGGAAGTGCTCGGTCGGGCGACGTACACCGGCCAGGTTCTCTGCACCGAACTTTCGGCGACGTCGACGACGGCCACGACGGAGGTGGTGGCTCTGAGAGCGATCGTTTCGACGACGAAGTCGACGCCGGCCAGGTGGCACGCGCGGCTCGCGCACGTCGGCATTGACACCATCACAATCTCGGCAAAGCACGAGGTTGCCACCGGCCTGGGCATCAAGCCGTCGGCCGGCGCTGACTCTCCGTGTGTCTCGTGCGTCGGTGGGAAGCTGGCGCGGCACACCTTCCCCGACCAAGGCTCGGAAGCCGAGGACGCCCTGGCTGTTGTACACATCGACTTGTGCAGCCAAGGACGGGAGCCTATACTTCCTGCTGCTAAAGGACCGCAAGACCCGCTACGTGTGGGTGAGGCCGGTCGCGAAGAAGTCGGATGTGCTGCGGGAGTTCCAGCAGTGGCTGCCGGTGGCCGAGCGGAAGTCGAAGAAGTCAGTGCTGATGCTCCGCTCTGACCGAGGAGGGGAGTTCCTCGGGAAGGAGTTCACCGATTTCGTGGACAACAAGGGGATCGTCCATGACTTGACCTGCCCATATATCCCGCAGCAGAACGGCATGGCCGAGCGGGAGATGAGGACGGTAGTGGATTCGGTGCGAACGATGCTGCTGCACATGGGCGTGCAGCACCATTGGTGGCACCTCGCCCTGCGGCAGGCCGTCTGGGTCCGCAACTGCCTTGAGCGATCGGTGCTGCCGCTCGAGACAACGCCGTACTAGCTTCTCACTGGGATGAAGCCGGATTTGTCGCTGGCACGCGTGTGGGGCTGCATGGCGCAGTTCTTGGTCCCCGAGCAGCAGCGTGGTGGGAAGCTAAGGCCGAAGGCCAGGTGGGGTTTGCATCTCGGCGTGTCAGAGGAGAGCAAAGGCTGGGAGCTCCTCGGAGGATATCGCCAACAACCAGGTGGTCACCACGTCATACGTGGTGTTCTACGAAACGATATCGCTGGAGGTGTCGAAGTCGGCGCATGGGCTAGCCTCGGGACGG